ATTAATTGAGCGGTCTCGCTATTGAGCAGTGAGGCTTCAGATCCGGAGTCAAGCAAAGCCCAAACGGATTTTCCTTCGATCTTCAGAAGGACGTGCGGCCTCGGAGTGTACTTTATTTTGATTCGGGCCGGGCGTACGCCGCTCTTCCCCCGACCCGCGTTTCGTTTCCCTTTGGAGGGTGACAATCTTTAGTTATTACTCCATCTTTCCCGCATTGGGAGCAAAATTTCTTTGGTGTGTGCTTGCAGTTCCAGCGGGTATGCCCTCGCTGCTTACACCGCCAGCAGCATTCATCTTTGTTGTACGTAGCTATGGCGACTGGGTTTCGGTTGTTCCTCTCGGGGAACCTTGGTCGCTGCTCTTTTTGGCGTTGTTGAATCTTTTCCAGATTCGCGACCTTTGCGTGTAATTCGCTCAGCGTGTGTATGTTTTCTAGTGGAATATATAGTTGAAGATTTGGATTCATGTTCTCATAGATCTGTTCTAGTTTTTCTTGCTCCGAGTACCCTCCGGCTCTTCGCATCAGCGTTTGCAATGCTATGGCAAAAGCGTCGAATGGCTCGCTTGGTTGCTGCTGCCTGCCTTGAATCTCTCGTCTGAGCTGTCGCGGGTATCCTGGTGGCAGGTAGAATGCTTTAAAGTCTTGGCGAAAGGCGTTCCATGAATTCCACGAGGCCCTATGGTTTCTGAACCATAATAATAAGGCATTGCCTTTTAATGCTTCCGGTAGGCCGAGGAGTAGCTGCTCGTTTGTGAAGCCATATTCCTGGCCGAGCTCCTCTACCCGTTCCAAGAAGGAAAATGGATCTTTGCCATCGAAATGGAGGCCCCATTTCCTCATTTGGTTTAGGAACTTTGCCCGCTCCATTATGCTTAATGCCGGTGGGACAACCAGTTCCTCCACTGGTTCGTCGTCGGTTTTGGCCAAATAATTGCTCTTTGACATATTGTCCAGGTTACCCGCGGTGGTTTGAAATAGATCAGGCCTTCGCGAAATAAATAACCAAAGTCTTTTTCTTAAATTATCTAAGGTCCCGGTACTATCAACGTTATGGGTTTCTAATATTTCGACAACTTGTTTTTTAAGTAAATAATTTACCCATGTACTCATTTGTCTTTAAATTTGGAGTCTTGTTTTAACTTTAAACCGGTCCCTGTTCGGGCGCCATGTAACGGTGCGTATTTTTTTTACGTCTCACGGGCGGTGCGTAATGATGCGAATTTTTCGATGCGGAATTACGACGGTGCGTAGTTAGCGAAGCGGATTCTTACGACGCGGAATAACTCGTCGGTTTGCCAGAGTTCGTTCGTGTGATTTATCGGGAGATTCCAAATTAACAAAAATGACTTAAAGAAAATAAATATTTATTTTATGAGAGCATTTGGATCAATAATATAAAAGAAAAATAGTAACAACGAGTACATGAGTATTTTGGTTTCGGTCTAACGGTTATAAATATCGGCAGTAAATAATATAATTCCTTATCGGTTAGATGAGTTAATGTTTCGACGGTACATGTGTATAATTCTAATTGTGAACGGAAAATAAACGGCGTAAATCTAAACAAACTAAATTATTTAATCGGTCGGTTTTGTACGGTACGGAGCAAAGTAATAAAAATAAGTGATACCGCGTATATCCGAGCCTTGCTGAGTCGACGACGGTTGCCGGTACGCTGTGTCCTAAGACAGTGAGAGACTTCTCTCGTGCAAGGGGTATCGGAAGTCGAACGCCGGGAACACCCGACCGAGGTAGAGAACACCCTGCCCCTAGAACGACGGAGAGTCGGAAGTCGAACGCCGAGACACCCAGCCGAGGCAGAGAACGCCCTGCCCCTAGAACGACGGAGAGTCGGAAGTCGAACGCCGAGACACCCGGCCGAGGCAGAGAACGCCCTGCCCCTAGAACGACGGAGAGTCGGAAGTCGAACGCCGAGACACCCGGCCGAGACAGAGAACGCCCTGCCCCTAGAACGACTATCGGGATGGGAGCGAGTACGACCGGAGCTTCAGAGTGCGCCCTGAGGCTTGTCCGAGTCGTACTCGGGGAATGGGTCTTGAACGGTTCCGCGAGCCGGCTTTTATACCGGTCGCGCTACCCCCACTTGGGGTGCTACCCTACCCGGCAGCTACCCCTTCTCGAGTTCTTACCCTCGAGTTGGGGGATCGGAATGCGGCCCGAAACGGGGGTGCTCACGTGGAGCTCGCGTGACGCTTAGTAACAGCGCGTGCTGTTACAAAGCTCCTGGATCAGGAGGGATTCTTGGAAAGATTATAACAGGTACATGTGGACAGTTGCTTGAGAGATGGGTACACTGTTTTACATCCTGCCTGAAAAAGGGAGAATTTCCGGATCCTTGGAAGGTGGCTAACCTAGTATTGCTAAAAAAGAAAATAGGCATTAGTAATGATCCTGAATGCTTTAAGCCTATATGCCTCCTTGATGAAACAGGTAAATTATTCGAACGCGTAATAGTGGATAGAGTTCATACTCACCTTGAAGACAATAATGGACTCTCGGCAGATCAATACAGCTTCCGACGAGGTAGATCTACAATAGACGCTATATTACAACTAAAAAACTATGTACAAAAAAAAGTAAACGCAGGATGTATTATCATGGCAATTGGACTTGACATCTCAAACGCATTTAATACCTTACCATGGCATATTATACTCAAAGCAATGAAGAATAAGCAATTTCCCATATACCTGAGGAATATTATAGGAACCTATCTTGATAATAGGTTGGATAACATATGTTAACCGGAGTGGTGGGGTCAGTAAGAGGAGAATCACTAGAGGAGTTCCTCAGGGGTCTGTCCTGGGCCCCACACTCTAGAACATAGGATATGATAAGGTGCTAACAACTGCTAAACTGCCAAAAGAGTGCCAAATAATATGTTATGCTGATGATACAGTATTACTGACAACTGGATACAGTATGCCAGAAGTGAGATGTCGAGCTGAGATGGCAGCTGCCACATTAATCCAAGAAATAGAAAAATTGGAGCTGCAAATCTCAAGTGCTAAAACTGAAGTCATGATTTTCCCCTCCGGGGTAATAAAAAATCAAAATGTATTTATTACAATAAAAGGAGAACGGATACAGACTAAAACTACTATGAAATATTTAGGACTAATGATAAACGGAGGATGGTCGTTCGTACCACACTTTAAGTACATTATTCCGAAAGCGGAAAAAGTATTCGGAGCATTATCAAATATACTCCCAAATCTAAAGGGCCCGGAAGAAAAAGTCAAAATTCTGTACTCAAATGTAATACATTCTGTGTTGTTGTATGGTGCACCTATATGGGCAGGTGAAGTAACAAAAAACGCCCATATTAAAAGGGACATCTATAGACTGCAGAAGAAAATCTGCCTAAGAATCTGTTGCGGATACAGAACAGTTTCTTTCGTAGCTGCATTATTGTTGGCTAGAGGCATTCCCTTGGACCTGATGGCGTTTGCATTGCAACAGATGTATGTGCAAGTCAAGAATCTAGACCGGGTGGGAGCCGGCATGGAGCACACATCAAAGGTACGGCTGTGTATTCAAGCTAAGAGGGAGGCAAGAGACAGGTGGAGAGAAAAGCTAACAACCGCCATCATGGATAGAAGAGGGACAAGTGGAACAAGAACAAGTTTAGCGGTCCTTCCCCACTTTGCGGATTGGTACAGCAGGAGGGAGGGACACACAACGTGCCACTGTACCCAAATACTATTGGAACACGGGTGTTTTAAAGCTTACCTATTTAAAATAAGGAGAGCTGATTCACCAAACTGTGAGCATTGCTCGGAAGAGCAAGACACGGCACAGCACACCCTGGAGTTCTGTCCGGCCTGGGAACAGGAGAGGGCGGAACTCCGGGGTGAGTTGGAATGTGACGAGGACCTAGACCTGACTGAGGTGGTCAGGAGGATACTAGAGGACATACGTAAATGGAGAGCCTTCAACAAGTTTTGCTCAAACGTAATGAGGGCCAAAGAGGAAGCTGAAAGGGAGAGAGAGAGGGCGGATAGAGGGGGGGAAGTGGTTTAGGGGGTGTAAAACCCTCCCCTTCCTGTGAATTCCCCCCTCCCGCTGTTTTTTCTTCCTGGAAATATCAGTCAGTTAACATGGACAACACATTCGGGAGCATCAACTCTGAATGAAACAAGGTATTCTTCCCTTCTTATTTACTTAGTGAGGGAAATTATGGCTACAAGCCAAAGGAAGCCCGCAATGAATGATCTTAACGGAACAGCTGAGGGTGGGGTGACGTATACCCCCCGGTTTCCCATCTCACCCTCACAGGCTAGGTTAGGTTGTGACCGGACACGTAGGGTGGAAGGAACCAAACGTGGACTTACCAGTCGCCAGGTTTCAGCGCTTTCGCTTCTGTCAACGGTCGCCAGCTGTTTTATCCTCTGCTAACAGCAAGGTTGAACGCTGCGTCGATTTCTCCACTGCCTCCTCGATGGATGTCGGCCTCCTCGGCCGATCTGGATTCGAAGTTATCCCATCCACAAGACTTACGGCCTACACTACACTCGCGCATCCATTTACTAATCGTGGTTTTTCTGTTACAGGTTCCCCAGGATGACAGGACTCCCAGGACTGCCAGGCTGCCACATGGATCGTCGGATGACTCGCGCTAAGGTAGGTATGGATGTAATTGATTCGACACAGGTTTAAATATTTTAACAAAGTAAAATATTTATTCACTGTCACCGAAGTGACGATCACGCACGCAATACATTGTGTGTTACGCACTACGCGGTCGCTTCGCGCCGCGCAAGGCCGATAAATCGGTCTTCGAAAGATGTCCGGCACACTACTTGCCGAGACACCTTGATTTTAGTAACGGATACATTTTACTTCGATTTTGCGTCGGTTGGCCCGACGGAGTTTCGACTAACTCTCTATCGTCGACTAATTTTCACTAACTCTCTCGGCTCGAGCCTGTCTTCTTATACTCGTCCGACTACCGCTTTCCCCTTCCTTGACGGCGCTCGCCAATCCGGTTCCAGATATTTGGTAGTAAGATCTCCGCCAATCGGTGTAAAGGTCACCCGACAAAGACGCGAGTTGTTTGCGCCGGCGGCGGCATCGAGCCGTCAAAAGCACAATAGCCCATTCAATCTTAGCGGTAAAAGTTTTGCGGTGCTCGGTTATTTATTGACCGACTGTTTTTATTCTCTTTGATAGCTTTTACCGCTGTCTGCGCTATCGCCCTTTTGATTCCTAATAAGGAATATAATATGCTACAGGCCGCTTATAGGTATTTTTACCCGTGTCAAAATAAAATAATAAATTTTGCCTGTAGCCTCGGATATATAAAATGAAATTAACTTAATAATAACATAATAATCTTTTGACCCGCTTTTAATCTTTATTTACTTTAACCAACTTATTTCGCGAGTCATTTCCGAGCGTAATGATTGTTAAACTTAAACTTTGCGTCTCGTACTTCGAGACGCTTATCACGTACTTATTAAAAGAGATGAAAAACTAATTTTTAATGAAAATTGTAATTACTTATTTTCTACGCAAAACACTATTATATTTACACTTATATCCTATAGCTAAATGTAAATGTAATCTTAAAATCTACGTCTACGCCTTTAAAATAATATCGGGCGTAGCGATAACTTTTCGCAACTGGCTTTTACTTTAAACTAAAAATAGACTTTTCCGAATTTACGGATACATGAAAATAGTTGAAATAAAAGAATTTTGAGTATTATTACTCACGCCAGTTAATTAATTAATTAGACGAGGTACTTAGGTTTTGACCGGTGGTTCCCGGATCTCCCTCGTCTCAGCGGTGTTCCTGGGTTCCGCTCCGGTTGTCCCTGGTTCCGCTGTAGCTTTCCGGCTCGCGACCGGATGATGGTCCCGCTGCTAGTACGAGACCCGTAGTCGGTTGCATTCCCCCTTCTTCGGTAGACTTGACGTTGTCAGGATCTAGCGATTCCTCGGAGGTGGAAAGCTTCTTCGCAGTGTGTTTGCGTTTCTTCATCTCCTCTTTCCGCCAATAAATGCGGTTCTTTTCGCTTAAAGCGAAGTCTCTCTTCGTCCGAGTCTTCGGATGAAGCTTCTTTGTACGAAACTTGAGTGCTACGCTTGCGTTTGCTGCTCAAGATCGCGTTGGTTTTGATATTGTCCAG